GACTAGGAGCCAGGCCAGGTGGTGTACTCCTGTAATCCCAGGACTTGGGAAGGTGAGGCAGGAAGATTGTTGCAAATTCAAGATCAGCCTGAGCCCAAGGCTAGCCTGAACTGCATAGTGAAACAGTGTCTCAAAAAGCAAAAAAAAAAAGATTAGGGATATAGTTCAGTGCAAAGGCCATGGAGTCAATCCCCAGCACCACAATATAATAAGATGGGGACTTATTTCAGTGGTAGAGCACTTGCCTAGCATGCTTGAGGGCCTGGGTTCAATCCCTAGTACCACAAAAATAAGAAAAAGAAAGAATAAAATGTTCCTATGTCAGTTCCAACTATCATCCCAGGGGAAAAAATTTTGTATATATATATTTTGTGTGTGTGTATATATATATATATATATATATATACGTATATATATATATATATATATATATATGAAGATATTGTTCGTGACCATTTTATTCAATCAATATTTATTAAGCACTTAATACATCCCAAGAACAACTCTTGAAGCCAGGAACAAGAGGGAAAAAAAAAAAAGCAAGCCTAGCACAGACCTGCAGTCCTTGCTACTCAGGTTAAGGCAGAACAGGTGGATCACTTAAATCCAGGAGTTCAAGACCAGCCCTGGCAACATAAAGAAACCTCACTTAAGAAACAGAAGAAAAGAAAACCAAATACCCTTGTCCATGGGAAGCTCACAGTATATGTTTTATAGCGTTCTTTTTAAATGTAGTATGTTGTTAATATGATTTCAAAAGTAATTCCTCGGGGCTGGGGATTTAGCTCAGTGTCATAAGCACCTGCCTTGCAAGCAGGCGGTCGTGAGTTCGATCCCTGGTACTGATATAAAAGAAAAAGACAAAAAAATAAAATAAAATAAAAAGTAATTCCTCCTTTATAAATTAATTGACTATGTCTACAAATCCTTTTTAACACAATTATTTAAACTGCAGTCTCAACAGAAACCTGTGTTTAATAAACTTTGTAAAGTACCTTGTTTAGAATTTATGTACATCAAACATCCTTCATTTCACTGTATATGTCCACAGGCCACATTTTTTTTTTTTTTTTTTTTTTTGGTGCCAGGGATTGAACTCGACCTCAAACTTGCCAGGCAGGTGCTTATGCCCCAGGCTACATCTTTTATTGCCACCACATTTGTAAGTATAAAATAGCACTATAGATAAACTTTATTTATTAGGGTGACTCTAAATCAAAAATGTAGTAAAAAAAATTTTTTTTTGTGGTACCAGGGATCGAACTCACAACCTTGCACATCCCAGGCAGGTGCTTGTGCTGCTGAGCTAAATTCTTGGCCCTTCTAAATCAAAAACTAAACTTTATTTCACAAAAAATAATTTTGGACAGATGTAGTAAATGGATAATAGCATATGCATAAAACTCCATAATCTCTTATATATTTACTTCCAAGCCAGGATGGTGGTGCATGCCTATAATCCCAGCACTCCAGGAGGTTGAGGCAGGAGGACAGGAAGTCAACCCCAGCCTGGGCAATTCAGCAAATCAGAAAAGTCCTTGGCTATTAAGCGCCTGCCTGACAAGCTCCAGGTCGTGAGTTTGATACTTGGTAGCAAAAAAAAAAAAATTAGAGCAGTCCTTGTCAAAATTTAAAAAAATTTCAAAAGGGGGCTGGAGCCAGGCAGGGTGACACATGCCTATAATCCCAGCACTCAAGAGGCTGAAGCAGGAGGATCACCATGAGTTTGAGGCCAGCCTGGGCTACACAGTGAGTTCAAGCCCAAACTGAACTACACAGTAAGACCCTGTGTTTGAAAACCCTGGGTTCAATCCTCAATACCACAAAAACAAATAAATATTCCCACAAAGCATGATTAAAGGAAAGGAAAGGAGCATACTATACCTCTAAATCAGAGATTCAAGCCCTGGCTCTATCACTGACTGCAATGCTGGTTAAATTTAACTACCTGAGCCTCAGTTTCCTTATCTCAAAGCAGAGGACTGTAAAATAGACCTCACGGGTTCTTGTGAGGATGAAGTAATACATTAAAAGCCTGGCTTGATAGCTGGAGAGAGCAGTGGGTATTCAGGAACCCTCTATTAGTTTCTTCCCTCTTCCCCAAGGGCCCTGATTGCTGTCGGGTTTGTCGGGAGTCTTTCTGTTTGGAACTGGAGTAGAGATGCAGCTCCAAGGTCAGCTTCTTTATGAAGCCTTTCTTTCCTTTACTTTTCTTTTTGGAAACAGGGTCTCACTTTGTAGTACAAGCTGCTCTTGAACTAACTCACTATGTAGACCAGGCTGGCCTCAACCTCACGATGATCCTCCTGCCTCAGCTTCTGAAGTTCAACACCATACTCTGCTGTGTGAAGCTTTCTCACACCTCCAAAGGAAAAGTTGCCTCCACGCTCCTATGACTGACTCTAGGTTTGCATGCAGAGTTTATTTCAGTTTCTTAAAATCAGGTCACTTTTACCTCTCCCATTAAACTATGAGCTCCTGAGAACAGAGATCATATCTCCATAATCCCAGCTCAGAGGAACAGCTGGCACATTTCAAGCCTGGAACAAAAGTTTGCTGAATGAGTAAATGAAGTTATTTAAGAAGTACTGGTAATTACTATTGGGTGACCCAAGCTTTATGGTTTTGCCCTTAATGGGTTGAGATCCTTTTTTATACTCTTTTGAATCCCTCTCTCATCGCATTTGGCAGTTTACTAAGAACATGGAAAGTCTGCAATAAATACTTTTGGATGATAGAATCCACATTACTCTTTGGTCTCTATGATTCAACTCTAAATAAAAAAAAAATCCTAGTGGATGTGTCTCTGAGAAGTCTTGTCTCGTTTTGTTTTTTTTGATTTTGGCAGTAGTAGGGTTGAACTCAGAGAGTGTTGAACTACATCTTCAGCCCCCTTTTAATTTGAGATGAGGTCCCATTTTACTGCTGGCTGTGAACTTATAATCCTCCTGCCTCAGCCTCATGAGTAGCTAGAATTACAAGCACGGAAAGCCTTTGAAACAGGGACTCTCAGCTGGGTGTGCAGCACACTCTTGTAACTGCAGTTCTCTTGGGAGACTGAAGCAGAAGAATTACAAGTTCAAGCCCAGCCTAGACAATTTAGTAACTTAGCAAGACCCTGTCTCAAAATTTGAGTGAAGGGCTGGGGATTTAGCTCAGTGGCATAAGCGCCTGCCTTGCAAGCAGGCAGTGATGAGTTCGATCCCCGGTACCAATAAAAAGGAAAAAGACAAAAAAAAAAAATTTGAGTGAAGTAAAAAGTGCTGAGGATGTACAGTAACTCATCCAAAGGCCCTGATTTCAGCAGCCAAGAACCACAGAAGTGGGAGGCCATTCTTAACAGTATTAGCAAAGAACTGAAGAAAACACTAGAGCCAGGCTACAAACACTCTTTCTCTTTCCTCCTGTGTCTGTCCGTGTATGTGTATGTTTTCCCCTTAGTTTTTTTCTTGGTACTGGAAATAGAACTCAGTGCTTCATCCATGCTAATCAAGTGCCTACCACTGAGCTAAATCTCAGCTCTTGTCACTTTACTTTGAAGATGGGTCTTGTTAGATGGCCCCAATTTTCAATCCTCTTGCTGTAGCCCTCCAAGTAGCTGGATTACAGGATTTAAGCCGCCACACCTGGCCCCTGCATGTGTTTTCAATGGTTCGCTTCTTATTCACTTCACTAAGAAAATGACTATCATAAAGCCCTTTGATTTGATATGGAAAATGGAAACATTAGGCAAACCTTAGTTTAATAACTTAGCCAAACGTTCTCCTCCCTGCAGTCCTGGGCCAGCTGGCCATACTGTCACTCCTGGGGGGTGGCTGCCTACAACAGTAAAACTACATCAGTAAGTGGGGGTGGGGCCCGGGTCCTCTAAGGTAAAACCTCTAAGGCTGAACTTATTGAAAATCAACCTTAAAAAAAAAAGAAAAAGAAAGTCAACCTTAAGTTACAGGCTTTGACTTCAGTTAATAAAGATCTTTTAAAAATTTCAAAAACTGGTAACTCAGGGACATTCCAGACATCCTACAGATTTAAAACTGGTTAGAAACACATGAAGCACAGGTGTGATTTCGCTGCTGTATGTAAGGAACATACTTCACACTTCTGTATACACACTCTCCAAACCACGGAGAGGAGGCAAGCAGTAAACTGTTCACCAAACTGCCATTCAGTTTTGTTTTGTTTTGTTTTGGTTTTGCCATTCAGTTTGATCATAAAACAGGAAGAGAAGAGAGAGCCCCACAAAACCGAGCTGGCCTTAATACCTAAATACATACCGATCTACCAGTCTTTCTGAATACAACAGCAAACCTAACCCCGGCCCTTTACCATGTGCCAAGGACTATGTCCAACATTTTCTGTGAACTCTCACATTCAGCATCTACCAACCCCCACCCCATGTGACGGGCACTGTCATTATCCCCGTTCCGCACTTGTGAAAGCTGGAGTGGAAGATTACACAGGTAGCAAATGGCAGGTTGGGGAGTCATCTGGAAAGCTCCAGAGATCCAGATCTCTGTGCTTTCTCATGGTTGCAGTGACGGAGGCGACGCAATCAAAGCGTCCTGACACTTTAGAGACAGACACTTTCTTGGCTGTCAAGTTTCAAATCCACACTGGGTGCTTGCAGAGCGGGTGGCATTTTGGGCTGCCGCACAGGATTTCAGTCCAGGTGCGCCTCCTGGCCCGGGGAGATTCAAGATTGATCTGGATCGAAAAGCGCCGCAGTGAAAAGGCACCGAGGGCGAAGCGAGGGCGGGAACCTCCGTGCCCCCCAATCCGGCGCAGTGTGACCTGGTCAAGCGGTGCACAGGTGCACTACCGCGCCCGACGGCCCGGCCCCACCCGGCGACCCGGGCTGTACGACCCCGGCCCCGGGGGAGAGGGGGTGGGGCAAGAGGGCAACGCTGAGGGCCGGGGGCGCGCGCGGCGTGGGCGCGCAGAGGAAGGATGCTCGGGTGGGGCGCGGTGGGGGAGGGGTCCCGGCCCCGACTCTCACTCACCGCCTAGCTCTCCTCCCGGGCCGGGCGCCGCGGTCTGCCCCACTCCCGCGTCAGCGGCTCACGTCTCCTCCCGAGGCTCAGCCTCCAGCCAGGGCCCGCGAGGCTAGAGAGAAGTCTGCAGGAGCTGAGGGCGTGTGGTGAGCCCAGCCGAAGGGGTGGGGAAGGTGGGCCGGTCGCTCTAGCGGCCGCCAGGGCCAACACACGCACGGACACCGCCGGCTCCTCTCAGGCACGGAACCTGCGGACCCTCCCACCACACCCGCCTCCCGCCTCTCGCACCGCCCACCAGAGAAGTGACAGCAACACTAGCCAATCAGAGTCCTTATCGAGGTTCTTTCGGCAGACTGAGGGGGCGTTGGGAGAAGGAAGAGCAATGAGAGCGGCGAGGACGGCGGCGCGACTTCCTGTGACTGACAGCACAGCGTAGCCAATAGGTAGCGAGGAGATGACCTCATCGCCAAGAGAAGTCTGGAACTGGAGGAGCCTGGGCAAGGAGGTGGGAAGAGGCCGTCGACGGGCGGAGGCGGGGCTCTCGCCCTTAAAGAGGCCGCAGCCCATTGGTTACAGTGCCCAGAGAAGGGCGGCGGGCCGTCTGGGCAGCAGTGCTACCGAAGGGTCAGTGCCCTTGCCAGCTCCCGCAGTAATCCTCCAGACCCATCCCTGGCCTTCTCGGACTTTAGGGGCGCCGGGGCCTAGAAGTCCCTGAGTCTATTATTTCACTTTTCAGGCCTCCCAAAAGGAGACAATAAATTCCTCTCTGGCCTGGAGCCCTGAATTCCCGTTACGCCCCCGCCCCCGAGGCCGGTTGCCTTGTTTCTCTGAATCCGTTTTCCGATGGTGAAGAAGGGTGCTGACACCGACCGCCCCTCCCCGCCGCTCTCTAGTGCTGAGATCATCAGCGGTCAAACTGCTCCGGCCTGGAGAAGAAAAGGGGTGGGCAACCCAAAACCTGGTCTCTGCAGGCTCCCGGAAGGACGTCTGCCGAGAGACCACAGTACTAGAGGAATCAGAAGACTCTTGAGCAATTGTTAAATATTGTCGGGTGTAATCCCAGCACTTGGGAAGCTGAGGTAGGAGGGTCGCTGCAAGTTTGAGTTCGAAGCCAGCCTGGGCTACATAGTGAGTTCAAGGCCAGCCCACGCTATCTAACGAGCTTGTGTCTCAAAAAACCGAAATAAGGACCGGGGATATAGTTCAGCGGCACAGTGCTTGCCTGGCAATCTCGAGGTCATGAATTTGATCCCCGAACCCAAAAACCCCAAAATAAATAAGTAAATGATTCTAAAATGCTGACGCGTAGCAAAGGATTATGTATGGGGTGTGTGTGTGTGTGTGTGTGTGTGTGTGTGAGTGACAGAGGCCACGCACTTACAAAGAATACAGACTAAAGGGGAGAGAGAAACAAGTTCAGCAAGGCTCACTGTGATAAGACCGGCCCTAGGGGCAGCGGCCCCTTCCTGCCCCCTTGCAGGCAAATTTGTTCCCACCCTGCCCGCAGCCAAGAAGGAGAAGGCCTGAAAGAAAAATAGTTCTGACTTGGTGGGGTGGAAAAGAGAAGGGCAGCTTAGCCCAAGGCTTTCTGGAGCCTGGTTCACCAGCCGGGGGAGGAGGGAGGAGCAGAAGGAGGCAGAGGCACTCACCTGGTTTGGGGAGACAGCTAAGGGCTCCAGACTGAGGCGGGCGGGGCCGTGTGTGCACATCCCCAGTGGAGGCCAGGGACCGGTGCTGCTCTTAACAGCACTCAACCCAAAGCGGTACTGCTAATCCCAATTATGCATCTGGAGATCAGCTTCGACTTCAGTACTTCAGTACCGGGGGCGGAGGCAGACTCTAAGGGAGTGGGGGTGACCCTGTGGCTCCTTAGTCTTTTCCCTAGGCAAAAAAAAAACTTCCACAGAAACCCTAATAAATTTATTTCTTTTACAAGTATTTTCTTGAGTAAAACGTGGAGTGGGTAGGACAGACAGATGAAGTCACCGCCTCTGGGGGTGCTTACACAAAGGGCTGGTCTGGGCTGTGTCTACCCCAAGTGTCAGGACAACAGAAGCAGAGGCTGGCCTGCCTTGGAGGAAGAAGTACTGTGATTTGGTCCTTAGGGTGGGGCAGATTTCCCCACAACAAGACCAGGGTGGAACATCCTGGATATTGTCCACAGGACACAGCCCTCAAGAAAAAGTGAAAGTGAAAAGAAAGTCCCTGCATGTCCTGTTAGTCACAGGAAAGCAAAATGCCCAGCCTGTTTGGTGCAGGCTACAGGGCAAGCACCACACCTCACAAGTCTCCCTGTACTTTTTAAGGGAGCAAGTGGGGGGCAGTCAGACAATTTAAACTGTGCATATTTTATATAGGTGTGCTGTACATATGCAAAGCACTCCTTCATATTTCTTAGGAGTACTCTTCCCTTCCTCTAATGTCTTACTCCAGACCCCAAATTGTCCTTTGAAGCTTCCCAGAACACATCTAATCCCTGCTTATCCCTTTCCCACACTTCCCACCCCCGAGACAGTACAGTCCCCTCCTCCTGCCTGCAATTCAGATCATAGCTTCCAGGTGCCCCATTATCTTAATGACCTCATGTGGACATTCTACAGTTTGTTAGGATCTACTGAGGATGTGTGTGCTTCTTCCACAAAATATTCTCTTTCCTCTGGTAAGGTGTCCCTTGTTTTCTTGGGGAAACCACTCTCCCTGTCTATCCAAGTGACTGAATTGGGAATGACTTCACTCACATTCCAGGGGTGAACTGCGTGGCCAGCCCTGACCAATCAAAACACTGCCACCTGACCAGCGCCCTTCATATTGGTTGACTTAGGAAGGTCATGTGATTGAAGACAGTCCAATCAAAATGAGCCCTGAAACCTTTGTTAGAACTACTGGGGTAGAGAAGTGCTTTGCTCAAGGCTCTGAACCTTCTGGTTTCTACATGGAGCAAATAGGGAGGATCATAGGGAGAATAAAACAATACAAATAAATAAAAATAATCAAAGCTGAGATACCTCATGCTTGCCAGGCAGACGCTTAAGCTGCTGAGCTAAATCGCCTAACCGAGGAAGAGTCTTGAAGCACAGACCCAGTGGCCAGGATTCACTGAGGGAAGAAAAACCTATAAGGGAGGAAATGGAGCAGGACAGAAGGAGGAAGAACTCTAAGCCAAGCGAGGCCCGGCTGGCCCTTGTCCTAACCCCCAGCAGGAGAGCTCCATAACTGGAGCCCTTTGTGTCCCGCTGTCTGCCCATGGTCACAGGCCCTGGAGCAGGCCCTTGGAGAAAAGTCCTCAAGGCGTCCCCTCAGCTGAGGGCCATTCTGGAATTCCGGGCACTGCACCACGGCCTGGGGACTGGGTGCCCCAGGCTCCAAGACTGCCGATCCTGTAGTTGAGTTTCTGTTGCTTGTGACCAAAATGTGACATCGCAGAGGACCCAGGTGTGCACTGAGCAGCCCAGGGCACAGAGAGGCTGTGTCCCTCGCTGCTGCCATGTGCGTGGACAAATCCACAGCAGACCCTTTCTACCTTTCTGCTCAAGTTGTTTCTCACCAACTGATACTACAGCAAATTCATTCATTCTTGTGTGTGTGTGTGTGTGTGTGTGTGTGTGCGCGCGTGTGTCGCTGGGGATCAGACCCAAGGCTTATTGCGTGCTAGACAAGCACTCTACAACTGAGCTAAGCTCTCATCCCCCATGACTGATTCTTTGATAGGACCTTAGACCTGACCCTGCTGGTAACCAACAGCCACTGTGCTTTTTATTTTGTTTTGTTTTGTTTCACTTTAGTTCACTTTATTTTGTTTCAGTTTAGTTTAATTTAGTTTCACTGAGAGGTCTCAGTTTGTAGCCTAGGCTGGCCCCAAATTTGTGTCACTTTTCCTACTTCAGCCTCCTGACTACTGGCGTTACAGCCAGGTGCCACCACGCCCAGTTCGGATGTCTTTTGTTCCTGTCTAGCCATTCCTGTAGCTTGCTAAAAACACAACGGATCCCATCCTGTCGTCCACCCAATGCAGGCCCCCTTTCCAGTTTTGCTGTTATTGCAAAAGGGACAAAGATGATGACAGAGATCTTAAGGAGACCACAAGACACGGATTCCACCCCCTTGCAGCTAGTAACCCAGATTCCTGGGAAATGAACCACTTGCCCCCACCTTTTGCTCTTGAGCTTCCTGGGGAATTTCCCAAAGGTATTTTCTAGAACCTGACCAGCCAGACCTCCACACACCTGCTCCTTACAGCTGCTTTGTAAGTATTTATCCAGGTCGGTCTGGTTGCCCTTGAATGCTTTTTGTTTATCTTCATCTGCTCAATCCCACGCCTCCTTCCACTTTCTCTTCATTATACCTCTGGCCTGTGTGGATTTTTCCTCCTCCAACAATCTATAGTTTCTACTAAGTGTGATCCAGTTATCAAAATCTGACTTCCTCCTTGTGATGGTTGCTATTGAGATACCCATTCTCCACCTGAGGAAACTGAGACTTGGGTTCATCAAATAACTTACCAAGTACTTCAAAGCTAAAAACTAGCAAGATCAGGCACAGATACTAAAAATGAGAGCTCTGGATGCAAATCAGTAAATACTGGCTACATATAAGGAAAGAAAGGAACTTTTTTTTTTGGTCTTTTTCTTTTTTTATCAGTACCAGGGATTGAACTCAGGACCACACACTTGCAAGGCAGGCACTTATGCCACTGAGCTAAATCCCCAGCCCAGAGAAACTATTTTTTAAAAAGTGAAATAGAACTGGTGGTGCATGGCAGTAATCCCAGCACTCAACAGGCAGGAGGATCACCTCAAATTTGAACCCAGCCTGAGCTACCGGCTGAGTTCAAGTCCAGCCTGAACCTCACAGAGAAACCCAGTGAAATCAGCAACCCTTGCCCATACCCAAGAACAGGGGCCACAAGTGCTGAGCAATTGAACAATGCTGTGAGGACAGGAAACAATGAGAAGAGAGTGGTCAGGCCTGGAGGAGCCCAGGGAGGCCAGGCAGAGCTGAGGCAGGACACTGCGGCTCCCGAGCACAAGCCTAGAATAAAACACTCTGGAAGGCTGAGGCAGGAGGAGGAACGGTTTCAGCCCAGCCTGGGCAATTTGGGAGACGTGGCTGTCACTTTGTTTGTTTTGTTTTGTGGTGCTGGGACTTGAACCCGAGCTATACTCCCAGCCTTTTTTTATTTTTTTTTATTTTGAGGCAGGGCCTGGTCCCATGACTCAAGCCAACTCAACATAAGTCTGACCAACTGAAACTTCCCGTGGGATTTCATTTTGCT